ATCTTCTATTGTATCAGAGGCATTAGTATTGCACAAAGTCAAGTTAAAAATTTTTTTTCCACAAAATGTATGTAGTGGCTAAGCAATCGTATTTAAGCATGTTTTACGTTCTGCATCTCATTTGATATCTCGCATCTCATTAGATATTTGTATAAATGTATAGGTTGCTACCAATAGACGTCACCGGTAATAGCTCTTTTTTTGATGGCTTGTAGAATCCTGGAGATTGTTTTGATCTCTAAGTTTCTGGTTTGATGTCATGAAAATAGTCAAATACAATAGTTTGAGGACTTATTTGGAAATGTTTTGACTTAACATCTGCTAGTTGCCCCCCAGTCAACCGCTTGTTTGCCCCCCAGTCAACTCCAAAAAGTCACGTGATTGATAGTAAGCAATACTACAACCTTTCTGCAATCAAGTATATATATATATATTAATTTTAAACAATTATTATATTTTTATCATTTGTCCTTTAATATTTTCTCTTGAGCTAACATGCATCCAAACTGATTTATAATTCATCAGTGGTTGTTTATTAATATTCAATCCACTTCACTACCTGATTACTGTGAACTAGAATATATAAAATATATTGAGCATGCCGAAAAATAAACAAGATCTATGAAACCAACTTTGACTTCTTTGAAAACCGGCCATAACGTTTCATATTAATGATCAACTAAAATAATTTTTGATTATCCAGAAAAAAAATAGTACGAAAAGGTACATGTAAGCGGTTATTTATGCAACGCTTAGCTTAAAATAGCTTCCTTTTCCAGCGTGTTTCAGCGACGGACGAGGGATTTTTCTGAATATTTTAATATTTTTAAAAGATAATTTAAAAACATAAACAGAATACTTAATTCAAGCGATTTGTCTCGATATGTTGCCTTGAAATAATACTGCAAGGGAAAAATAAGGATGTCCTCTATATATACATTGGACTATAAAGACAAAGAATATACAGTGATAAACACTTTATTGGCGTCTTAAAGAAGAAACAGAACACGATCGAATATTTAGTCTAGATTTTTCTCTCCTTTGCATCAAAGTTAATTGAATCAAAGTTATCAACTATGTTTGCATATAGACTCAGGGCTGTGTAAATTACATTAAAAAATGCATAATAAAATTTTAGTTGTCGAAATCGGATCGACTGACTGAAATTTTGATACAAGTCTCTTTTTACCAAGAAATGCTTTTCAATACATACGTAGCTAGCGCAATATAAATTAGGATCGGAGTCAACATTTAAAAGACGTCGACTTTTTAAAAATAGCTTACCTTCTGTCCTTGAAGAAAAGAACTGCTTTTATAGGACGCAATTAGATATTTTGAAGCTTAACAATCGAGCTCTAATTTTGTATCGACTGTTTGCTATTTATTTTAGCTTTTTCTTAAAGCTTTGCAGCTCCATCATCGAAAAACCAAGGTCATTTGTGTCGCCTTAGTATCTCGCTGCCAGACAGGCGGAAGTTTTTCTCATCAAAAATTCCGAGACCAAACCTCAAACAAACGCGTTTACCCGACCGGATCACGACAGAGTTCCGACTGTCAGACGAAGATGAGCCAAAACATAAAGATAAAGAGGAACTCCGTACACTATTTTTTGATAATAATTAAAGCATCAGAATATATAGGGGGAAAATTAAAAAAATAATTTATAGTCAAACTAAAACCGTGAACACCTAAAATATGCCTGGAATGTTAAAGTAGTGTGCTGACCAATCACATGCGAAAATGAATTCATTTGCATGTGATTGGTCAAAACATGGGGTTTAACATTCCAGACATATTTTAGAGCGCCGCCATCTTCAAAAAAAGGAAAAAGAGAAAGCCCTGGGAACGAGGTTGATTTTGTTTCATAAAGGTTTGGTGGCCTAGAAATCTATGATTCAAAGATGAAAAGTGACAAATCAAGACTAACATTTTTTTCTCAAATCAGCTGGAGGAAATAGATGCTATCTGGATTCTATTAATCCCTCATAAATATTCACGATCCCGCACGATGACGTAATGAAGCTTGTAATCACTCTCGCAAGGGTGGGGGGTCGAGGTGCTAGCCTTCTCCGCATGCATCGATCTCCTTTCGGCTCCTCGGGCTTCCTGTGGAGAGGAGAGAAAAAACCAAGGGAAGCCGGGAGGGGGAAAGGAAGGAATGACATAACAACAACATAAAACTGAACTCAGTTGAACTTCTTCAACCCGTTCCGTCACATCCAGTCATGTCTGACAAAACAAGCTGCTCATCACGCGGGACAAGCAGAGTGTCTGTGGTATTGTGGTTTGTAGTTGGTGTGTTGTGTTTGGGTGAGTTTGTACGTGTTGAGTTGATTCTAAGTGAATACAGGACAAGACTAGACAAGGTAGAACAGAAGACAGATGGGAAAGATGTAGAGCCGTGTAATGTGAAAACCAAGCAAATCAAAGGTGAGCAGTAAACAGAGTAGAACGCGTACAGACTCGTTGAATGTCACTGAGTTTTTTGATGATTTGAATCAGGGATTACAATGTGAAACTGGTGTACATACTGAATCTATCTTTCTGGGAACTGAACAACAAAAGGAAATAGCAAAAGTGAAGCATTACATCGCAAAAATACAAAAACATTGACATACATTGAAGATTTTTGACTGAATTTCCGGAAGTTAAATGACCTTTGAACTGAAATGCGTGGGAAGTTGATCTACAAATCAAGTCAATCCACTGATGTCATATTATCCTTTCATTTCGTTACAGCAAGTCGTTCCATCGACTCACCAAAGATCATACATGATTCAAGACAAAGAGCACGTCGTCTCACCGTGTCTTCACCTTCAAACGACACCAACTTCCAAACTGTTCGTAAAGAACTAAAGCCTTTTCTAAAGCGTGTGGAGCAAAGAAGAATAGATGTCCACCAGGACCTCCCGGTCCACCTGGACGACCAGGTCGCAAAGGATCGACCGGAAAACGAGGACAACCAGGAAGAAGAGGCAAACGAGGACCCCAAGGACCCATGGGAAGGCCAGGCAGAAGTGGCAAGCAAGGCATGATGGGACCTACTGGGTTGAAGGGAGACAAGGGAGAGAGAGGTGATCCTGGACCACGTGGTGTAGCTGGACGGGATGGTAGACCTGGTCAATCGATATCTTCACCAGAGGTTCAAGTATCCCCTCCCTTGTTAATTGTTAATGAAAGCGATACAGCCGTGTTGCATTGTGGGTGGAGTGGTAATCCAACACCTGTGATTGGCTGGAGGAGAGTTGGTGGTTTACTAGACAAGACAAGAAGTGTGTTGGATGCAGGTCTGGCAGGTGTTGCTAGAAGTCATAATCTGGAGATAAGGAATGTTAGTAGTAACGATTCAGGAGTGTACGAGTGTAAAGGCAGTAATATACTTGGACAAGCAAACCAGACAGCCACTCTTCTCGTCAACTATAAGTCATTACACTTCTGTTACATTATAGCCATTTTAATCATTTAATCAGACGTATTTTTCTGTCGGTATATTAAAATAATAATTTTTTTTCTAGATCTTCCTCGTATTTCCCTATCTTTTGGACCTATTTACGTGGAAGAAGGAAGCAATGTAACTCTTCCAAAGTGTCACGCGACTGGACACCCCACACCAACGATCACGTGGGTAAAAGTCCTTGGTATGTTGCCTGCTGCCCGTACCGTCATAAATGGCAGCCGTTTGATTTTATATTCTGTGGAAAAACAAGACACTGGGATATATGTTTGCCAAGCTTCTAATTTCCTTGGATTGTCTATTGGGAAGATGCAACTCATTGTGGTGACATTGCCTAAATTCACCGCCACCCCTCCCCCCACTGTATTTGTTGCTGATGGTGAAAGTCTGAGACTGGACTGTGTAGTTACAGCAGATCCACCTGCTAGGATTTCTTGGAGTAAAGACAACCAACAATTGTCATCTGATGATAGAACACGGGTCCATGTGAATGGAAGTCTGACTATAACAAGATTGAAGACCGCTGACTCAGGGACTTACGTCTGTCAAGCTGTCAGTGCTGGGGTCTTCACTGCAACAACTCACACTAAAGTTGTTGCAGCCCCAAAAGGTACAGTTAAATGAAATGAAAGCAACGAATAAAGACTTCGGTATCACAGCTAAAAGTATTATGCTACACATACATACATTTTAAATAAACTATGGGGGATCCAGACGGTGGGTTGTAATATATAACAATAAATATGAGGTGGTTGAATTTAGAATAGCCAGGTCTGTTCTTGTTTAATTTTTACCCATTTGTTAAATTAACGTTATTTACAGATCTTAAGTTTACTAGAAGAACAACTAGTGATTACGTCATTATCAAAGGCATCCCTAGCATGTCGTCCGTGACGTTCTGTTTCTGGTTGAAGACCACTGTTGGTGATACTGTCATAAGTTACGCTGTACCTGGAAATGACAATGAATTGTTATTTTTGACGCCCAGGACTTTTGACTTATTCATCGGAGGATCCTCGTGGTAGGTTTCCCCGTGACATACTGTACTTTTAGGGTGGACCTTGTCTTGTATAAAACCATTCACTATCGTCAGCACTTGTTGATCGTGTCAAAGGTTGTATAGTGCCCTTTGTAAGGTTGTCTCACCTAGTGAACTTGTATCAGGAAGACTACGCTTGTCCCATAATGTGTACTACTTTTTTGAAAGAATGCTTCTAATGCTATAACGAGTGACATATTGTTCATCTTGCTATCTAATAGCTGAATTCATTCAACTATCATTACTAGGCGTACCGACGTAGCTGCAAACGATGACAGATGGCATCACATGTGCACAACGTGGAGCAATAATGCTGGGCAGGTGTTAGTTTATAAAGATGGCACCGTTGCTGCAAGAAGAACAAACTTCATGACAGGTCAGGTGATCAGAGGAGGCGGTACACTCATCATAGGACAAGAACAGGACAGTGTGGGTGGATCATTTGATACCGGACAGTGCTACATCGGTGACCTTACCGGGTTGAATATATGGAACAGAGTACTGGAACCTAACGAGATATCTACCATGTCACGTGACTGTGGTGCTGGTGAAGGCAATGTGTTGAGCTGGGGTGACGTCATCTCTAGTAAAATCCAAGGTCAAGTACAGCTTGTTAAATCATCCACATGTATTAAACAGCATTAATGACCGAGGACTCATTGAAGAGAATTAGTATTAAAGTGTTTAGGGTATGCAGCCGGGGTCCAGATCCTGGTATGGAAGTCCGTGGTTTTAGGGAAAGTTCATTTAATATGCCGAGGGGGAAAGGCAGGGGGGATGAAGACTTCTCCTTAAAAACCTTAAGGACTCCCCTTAAGCCGCTAAACTTAATTTTCGAAGCCCCCCAAGTAACCCATGAAATTTTTCAAATTCAAATTGAGAACCCCCCTTTCACGACTCAAAAAATTTCGTTACCCACTACATACCTTCATCCCCATCCTCCCTGCATATTTTAAAAATAAACTTTCACTTAGGGCCTTTAAATTTAGACGAGGTTCCTGGCCTGCGGAAATCAGATGTGTCACGCTGTCGGTTTTAATGATTTTGATTGGCGGAAGCCATGTCTTCGTATTTATGAAATTAGTAATTATTATCACAATCAGTCGTAATTGGTTTATTTTCTTCTTACTATTCATTGTAAAGAGTAGGTAATGGTAGTAATTTCTGACTACACTATTTTGCATCAGTTCGATATACCGTCTATACTTTTTGCTATAGAGCGTTTTCACTCACGTGAGAAGGCAGCCATAAACAATAGAAACTTTCTGCACAGTATTTTTATAAAAATAGAGTTCAATTCCCGGCACAGGTAGCCCAAGCTTGGTTTCTGTGGTGTCATGTTATAAGAAAAAGTATGGGGATTCATCAAAAAATTTCAATAAAATCATGGAAACGTGAAATAAAGCCTCGAAATTTTACCCGATCATTGAGAAATAGCACTTCTTTCTAGCCCGTTTTAAACGGGCTAAATTCAAAAAATAACCACGCAGAGCGAAAGAAGTGCTATTTCTCAATGACCGGGTAAAATTTCGAGGCTTTATTTCACGTTTCAATGATTTTATTGAAATGTTTGATGAATCCCCATACATTTTCTTATAACATGACACCACAGAAACCAAGCTTGGGCTACCTGTGTTCCCGGATAGAAAATGTATCGTTTTGGTACCCCTAAATGGCCGCTGTGACGTCATGTGAAAACGCTCTATATACTTTGTGGTTTAGTGACCAAGACATCAATTTTATAATCTATAGAAAAATGGCCACAAGAGGGATAGGAACACCTTCCTCATCCGCTAACAGACTTACTTTCCAATAAGGGGCGAGGATTTATGGGTGGATTTTGAAGAAGTTATTGGAGGGGCATTCCTTGCAAGTGTGCCATAAACATGAGTGCATTCTTTACCTAACTGTTAACTGTCATTAGTAAAAATATCCAGGTGATTATTGAAAATCTCGCGCGCTGATTGGTCGAGAAACTCACACTAACACACGATAATCACCTCCAGCGATAATCCAAAATGGCTGCTAGCCGCTTTGTTGCTGTTACCTGCTTTTATCTTTTTTCTTTCTTTCTTTTCTTTTTTGAAAGAATCACCCGTGTATTCATACTAAAACAATTATTTGCCTCATTCTCAGTGAATATCGGAGAATATTTACCTCGCCTCTCGAAGACTCGCGTCTCAGTAAATATTTCTCGATATTCACTTCGGCTTCGGCGAATAATTGTTAAATAATTAGACATTGGTTCGAGGCTAACCCCGAGTAAATGAGTCCGTAATCGAGAAACACAGCGGTTAATTGGAACTCGAAGAAAATTATCTATTATGAAAATCTATTTGTATCTTTTGAACCTGGTTTTCTACTTTCTAGTCAAGTGCAAACATCACAGTCAGGATCATCAGCAGAGTCAGTTGTGCGCTGCTAAACAATAGACCACTGTTGCTGTATTTTAGACCACGTTTCTTTCCCGTGGTTATAATTCCTTTGCTTCACAATAACGCTTTGGAAAAAACATCGAAATGGATAGAACTTATTCTCAAGAAAACGTGGTGTGAAATAGGAAAAAATCACACCCAAGTAGATAGGGTCTACAGATCTCTTTAGCTTGGGCGTAATGTTTTTCCCATTTCAGACCACGTGCCATTCCCTAAAGMATCATTTTTTTTGTTTAACGGTTGTCCTTGAGAAGACACATGAATATGGATACAACTCAAACAAAAAATCTTATTTTCACGAAAATGACGTGTCTTGAAATGGTAAAACATTGCACCAAAGGTAACAAGGTATATTGACCTCCCTTGCACCGATGCTAGGACAAGGTGTTCCACTTCGTTTAGAGCACGAGAACAAGTTGCCCCTAGAACTGGTAATACCTTGGCTTTTATGTACACACCTATTTCAAAAAACGTCTAAAATCTGAGATGATTCGCCAGCGCAGTCATTGCTCAAAGGTGGTGGCATATTCAGATATTTAAAACTGTTGCAAACTACCATTAAAAATATTTAAAAAATTATCACTTTCCTTTGTATTTTTTTAAACATTTATTCCTTATCCACAGCTCACAGGTTCAATTCATTTCATGTGTCAGATTTCAGTTCTCCGACCAACAACCTTTTTTGAAATAAGTGTGCTGCATCCAAGGAATATAAAACCTTTCAAGTCTTATAGTTTAAAATGCTATCAATGAAAAATTAGATTGCTACCTATACTAAATGCTAGTTAGTAGAGGGGGACTACTAACTATGACTCAATTTATTAATAACAGAGTTCAAGTATCTTGTAAATCGTTAATAGATCAGTGAGATAGGCCTTGAAAGTAGGCTGTTGATACACTAACAGACTACAGTGACGATATCCGTGTTGGAAAATTCTCCCGCCGCATACAATAAGTTCCAAGCAGCTGCATACAATAAGTTCCAAGCAGCATGGGCAAATGAAAAGACAACAAGTAGACGAATTCTTCAGACACATATAATATATACTTGTGAGGACCATAAGCGAATGATGGACAAAATCCATTTGTAATCCAGTATCCACGCTCATCCAATACTTTTAGATAGAGTTCTAAAGCATGGGTGAATGACAAGGAGAGAAGAATTCTTCAGACACATATAATGCATACTTGCGAGGACCTTATGCGAAGGGTGCAATCCAAATGATGAGACATCAATGTCTGCCTTGGAAAGTCCTCCTACACAAATAAAGATAGCTCCAAGCTTCCATGATGGGTGATATTTTCGAATTGAAACAGGATATCTGTAGAGTCCTCAAGTGTGAATAGATAGACTTAGCCAACGTTTATAGTGACACTCATCACGTATCTACATTGCCGACAATGGAAGTTCTATAGCACATCCAGTACGGGTAGAAAGAGTTCCAATAACTGGATAGCTTGAGAGACGATTATCTTAGCATATTTGTACGAGCCCCAAGCGGGCAAAGATGCCATCTTCAATCCAAACTACAGACATCATGTTCCTTGTATATAAATTCTTTACAGAACAACCAATATAATTGCCGAGACCCAAAACGGGATATCTTCAATGATCCCCTATATCTATCGTTAAATATCCCACGAAAATACGTAAAATATGGATGCCATTTATCAGCCATATGCCAGGCATTTCAGTCAGTTCCAATCTTGACATAAAAACTAAGAATTATTTAAAAGATTTGCACCCTAGTAATTCTATCCTTGGCGAAATGTTTTTCTTTCACCGTGAGAGGAGTTTATGTACATAATATAAATGTGTTGAGACGTTCAATAATACACTTGTAACAAAATTATATACCATATATAAACCTTTATAATAACATATACTGTGCTATACTCTATCTACTTTGGAGTTTTCTTTTAAAAGAGTGTGAGCTGCTGATGATCGCTTGTCTGCTATTTCTGATCTTCGGTGATCTTTCCGACAACTGGCAACAAAACAGTAAAGAAAAAATTACTTTCATGAGTGGAGTATGTGTGTGTGTGTGTCTGTTAGAGCACTACCCCCTCCCCCTCCCCCTTCCCCTTCCCCTTCCCCTCGGGTTAGCTTTTCGTCCCTATTGGTCATAAGGTTGTGACGTAGGCGAATCGATTTTTTGTTGTTGTAGTTTTCGTCACTTTTCGCGTTTTAGTACTCCTAAAATTAAATTATTATCTAAGTCATCCGTGCCTCGACTTTTATCAGGTAGGAGGTTGTTTGTTTCGTCAGAGTCTAACATATTGTTCTACCAGGTATATATTCCGGTTTTCCTCGCTCTGTAAAAATACCCACGTGATAAGCGAGATGCATGGAATGTTGTATGTATGTGAAAGTCTTAAATGAGTAATATCATGCGTATGTGTGCATGTATGCACACGTTTCACGTGCGTATTGTGTGTGTACGCTTGGTGTTTATATATTTCTCAGTATTAGTATATATTTATAGATATAATAGATATAATTTTATTTTTAATTATCTTACTGTAAAGCGCATGGAGGCTCTCAGGATGCGCTATTTTATTTTTATTATTATTATTATTACTATCAGCCATTCCGAGGTTGAGAAAAATACTGGGTCGAGTTGGCATTGCAGTGCATTGTGGGCTGTTTTAGGGGATACATTTCCAAGATGGCGTCTTTTTCGTCCCCTAAAACAGCCCCACAATGCACAGCAGTGCCAACTCGACCCAATTTTTTCCCTCAACCTCGGAATGTCTAATACTTGCAAACCAAACTCACCATAACATATAAATATTACAAGAAACAGAGACTGCAAGTAGTGTACCCATTACAGCCACTAATATAAACCATGTTGCATCTGTACAAAACAACAAATCAATACATGAGGATAAATCAGTGTAAGTAAGACAAGAAACAGAGACTGCCAGTAGTATACCAAAACTCATTCTGGTATCACCGTAGAACAGGGTATACTACAAAACTTTTCAAAATCTACGACGGCGACTTTAACCGGAAGTACTAACCCCTGCGCGCTTTATAACTGCACACAGCACGCGTGCGCCTTTTCTATTTCTTCAGTAATGAACGGTCTATAAATAATTGAAGTATTCCTCGTCTCTCAAGGTATTTTCAGATCAATCTTTTTGGTTCTAGTTAGAAGACAGGTCAAACACCAGTTATAAAAGCATCTATATAGACCACCCAACAATGTACGAAATACAAAACGGTGCTAACTATGAGCAACAGAGAATTTGAAACTGGAGTATTAAAAGCAGATGAACACATGCACTTGGTTGCTGTTTATTATAAATAGAACATTCAGACAGTGGTCAAAATGCGGTAATTCTTGTGGCTTATCGGATCGGATCGATTTTCTCCGGTAATTTGGAGGAAAGACTCAAGCAGTGAAAATAACGCCCTTTTCGACTGCGTAGCATTGCGGGTTGTTCTGAGACTACTGCGCGCCTCTGCTGGCTGAAATTGTGCTGGACTTAATTAACAAAAGCGAGCGGAAATAGAGGTTTTGCACCAACACGTGACGGCAGCCATGTTACTTGGCAGGAACAATACAATCATTTTACATGAGAAAGAATTCAATTCCCGATCACAAAGCCGTTCTAAGAACTATAATGGCTTTGCACCATCACGTGATGGCAGCCATGACAGGAGGCACAACAATAGATTTTTTCCCACTGCGAGACCTAATTCTTTCTCATGTAAATCTGATGATAACAGATTCCATTGTTCCTGTCTCCTGTCATGGCTGCCATCACGTGATGGTGCAAAGCCTCTATAGGTTACTTTAAAACTGGCTTTAGTCGCGCCAAACCGTCAACCGTTGTTTCAATGCGTTTCGGTTAACCATACCATATCATACCTTCAGCGATCTCAGCTGCAGTCCTTTCTTTCTTCGCCGCCTCCATATGCGGTGTTGGATAATTCATTCTTTTCTCGGTGTTATGTACAAGATCATCGTCATTCCTTTTCGTAATATCATTTTCTGACATCGGAGCGTCATTTACAGTTGCTCGCTTCTTTTCTGTTGTTTCTATGGTTGATTCACTCGTAGTAGTAGATCTTGTTGTTGGTGTTGTTGTTGGAGGTTGTGTTGTTGTTGTGGGTTTAGTTGTCGTGGTAGGGTATGTGGTAGGTTTGGGTGTGGTTACCGGCTGTTCTATACATAACGGGTCTGCCAAACAAATCAAATCAGAACATTTTTACGGATGGTTCACAGTACTACATGTACACTGAATTACCCAAAGCCCCCCTAAAAAAATCCAGATGTGAGGGTCACTAAAATAATAATTTATAATTATCAACAATCAATTATATTTAGAGAGGGTAACGAATGACAGTCACAACTAAGCACTGTCTATTTTAACGTCTCTAAATGAGACGCGAACGCCATTTTACGTTTGCATTTGTAGATATTTTTAGAGCAAAGACAGCACATTCTAAAGCAGGTATTTTAAGACCCCGAGTGTTGGTCAGGACAGGGCGGTGCACAGCCACATCGGCCAGTTCGTGGCAATTTTAGCTTCCACCAAGTAAATTGAGAGGATCTCCTTAGAGGGTAAATAAACTAGTTAAGGAAGAGAATGACAACCTTACCTTGTTCATTCAGACAGACATGAAGTACCATCTTCATCCGATCTGTTTTGCAATGTCCATGTTTAGTACTTTTCAATGTACTCTTGGTTCCATCAGAAGTTGCTGAAGACAACAAGAATGGGTTAAGCATCAGTAACCACTTACTGCGTAACGGAGAGGGAAGGGAGTACGAGGGGAGGGACAATATGTTAACAACATGAAATAGAACTTTTTTAATATGACTATGAGAAAAATTATGTATTAGCCATTCCGAGGTTGAGTAAGAAACTGGCTCGAGTTAGCATCGCAGTGTATTGTGGGACTGTTTTAAGGGGCATATTTCCAAGATGGCATCTATTTTGTCCCCTTAAACAGTCCACAATGCACAGTAATGCTAACTTCACCCAGTTTTTTCTTAACCTCGAAATGGCTTTACGTGCAATCACGGTCACTGCTTCAATAGATGACGTAAGTTCCTTCTCATAGTTGATGCATTGAAGTAAGTAATTATGGTATTCTAGAACATTYATTCTATTGAAGGATAATATCTAAGAAATAAAATGGATTGAAAAAACCTCCATTTTATTTTGTTTCCATAAAATATCGAACGAACACAAAGACAAGAAAAGAAAACTCAAGATTGAACATTCCATCTGACAGTAAGAGTTGAGGTTATCTAATAGTTTAGCTAGAACTTCAAGAAAATTCTGCTTTTGTTATGTGAAAGTGACCAAGCAAAGACTCTAGCCCCAAGCTTGTTGCATGCACATGGGCGGGATGCAGCAACCAAGGCATCACAGTACAACACTTGACATGAAACAAATCTGATAGTAAATAATATATGCTCTGAATATATCTCTGTAATATTGATTCCTAATAAATTCTTCATTTTAATTCATTAATATCAATGAAAGTTTCTAGGAATACATATTTCTCTTTGCACTTTCTGATGGTAGGCTTCTTTGTTTTTATTTTTGAAAGTCAATGGTGGCCATAACTGTATATCGTGTACACTAGAATACACATCCATGCTCTGAATATCTCTGTAATATTGATTCCTAATAAATTCTTCATTGTAATTCTTTAATAGCAATGAAAATTTACAGAACATAAATTTCTTTTTGCACTTTCTGAAGGTAGTGCTTTCTTTTTTTGTTTTTATTTTCGAAAGTCAATGGTGGCCATAACTGTATATCGTGTACGCTAGAGTAGACATCCACTGATACACCTGCTCTAAACAAAAGTTACAACTCAGTGGGTACTGAAGTGTTTTGATCATAAGTCAACCATGTAGTCATTATCTAAACACTCTAATACCCCATTCACACCAAGGCTTAAAGATGTTTTAAAGTGGTTTAACTAAACAGGTTTGTAAAACTATCTATGAACACTGCACAATATTTGGTGAAATAGTGCATGTAAACTATCCTTTGCCTTGCTCTCATAATATTTTAGAAAGTTTCATTATTTTGTAGGTTTCTAGTTTCTCAATTTTTTTCCTAATGAAAACATAGTTTAACTAAACAYGTTTAGGTGTGAATGGGGTATAACATTTACTGCTTTTCATATAAACAGTATACAGCATAAGGCATTGATGGCTTGTTATAAATACTGTACTTCATTCATTGCTCTCTCAATAATTTATATATAATGTACATCACAAGCTTCTGAAATTGGCTGGCCAATTTGTTTATTTGTAAACCTAGCGTGATGGCCACTAGCAGCCATGCTGTGAGGTATTGTTATGGTGATTTTCAAATATCATGCAAGGTTAACAAGTGAAGCATGTACCTATATTCACATAGAAACGTAAGAAAAGTGGCATAATTGGGATGTACTGTGTGAAATACAAACCCACCTAGAACTTTCGAGTACATTTTTATAGAAAAATAACCATTTTGTAAACAGATATTTCTTTGTATTATATGGGATTTGTTTTGAAGAGGCAGGACAATTCTTGTCAGTTATATTGACATTTCATTTTCCTCCCTGCGCAGTTTCCCTCCCAAAAAAAAACAGTGTGTGAGTTGAGAAATGTGTATTTCAAATATCAAATGCAGTGGTAGTGAGTGTGGAGCTTGTAGTATCATTAAACATTAACCTCTGGCCTAGGGACGCTCAATAATGATTCCCCATATCATGATGAAGGAAGGAAGGAAGGAAGGAAGAATGAAGCAAGGGTTGAATAAAATGAAGTCATACAAAACAGAGTTTTATGTTAAGTCTGCAACACTTGTCTTTTAAGTGTGCTGACTGTATTCACAAATATCTGTGCAGTAGCACACAGACAGGCACACAGATATGTGCAAACAAGGGCTCTTGATTAGCGAAAAAAATTTACTATAGGGAGGATTGTGCGCCCTAAAAAATGGGAGAACTCTTGAGATTTAGAGATACATGGCATACTTGACTAGTGACTAGTGTACATAAGGCAGAAAGGGCACACAGACTTCAAATTCAATTGACATTAGCAAAAGTGGGGGAGGGCTATACCCCAGCCCTACCCTTTTTCTGACACTATTTCTGGTTTGCAGTCATTCCCAAGGGAGTGAAATACTGTAGCCATGTTGGAGGATGTAACAAAAGGAATATTTCTCATTAGTCTCGAGACTAATGAGAAATATTTTGTTAAATTCATCCAACATGGCAGCTGTGAAAACCAACAATTGGAATAACACCCAACAGGCTAGAAAAATAAAGATGAAGATACTGGACTTTATGAGACTGCTGGACACAAGATTCCCGACTATAGCCAGACAGAAGTGGCCATAAATGGGCCAAATGTTAAAAAAAAAGAATGATGATGACATTCAGGGTAGAAGTTAATGTACTTACAAATAAAATAATAATCCTTCCCTCTATCAAACTCCAGTGAATGCACGGACGGACTAACATCCAGGAACACGAGGAGATAATATTTGAGTTTTAAAGGTTCATTGCACTCATACAGCAGACGATTTGTTGGTATTGATGTATTCACTTCACAAGAGTCAAAGCTCTGCTTGTCGACGATCCAAAAGTTCTCGTAGAGTTGATCCTTTGCTGGACTCTGCTGTAGTTTTATAGGGTTTAAGACATTATTGGGACAAATTATGTTGAGTTTTGACATTGGAAGAACGTTCATCCTGTAATAACTAGAGTTGGAGGACGGCTGAAACCTGAAGCAAAAAGGAAAACAGTTTATTATAATAAATAAATAAATCAATAAATCAAATTTTATTTTAGCCAGGTTGGGGTCCAGGTAGCCAAAGCTCCTGTGAAACTGCATAATTATTTTATATAACAGCAAATATAGTTACTAAAATGAGAGAGGCTTCACCAAACATCCAACTATGCCTTTTTTATTTTATTTTTTATAAATTTAATATTCATAAATTACATACATGAACTTTATTATCAAGTCGGTATTGCAGCCGGACATGAATGCCCAATTTGAATTATTTCTCAATGTTTCATAAAAATGACCCAAAACATTGATATAATTTCCAATTTTCATTTGGCCACCACCTCCCTTAAACAATAATTGTTTAAGGAAGGTGGTGGCCAAATGAAAATTGGAAATTATATCAATGTTTTGGGTCATTTTTATTTTATGGTCCAATTATTGGATTGTTTCCACTGCCCCATTTCATACCAGAAACAACCCTTTGCTCGGTCCTTACAAGTGCTGACTGGTTTAGAGATTTCAGGTATCCCATACAGACTCATCTAATTTATAAAAATAGAAAACATGCATGTGTGCTGTGCAGTTATAAAGCATGCAGGGGTTGCCAGAACACAAGAGAAGTGAAGCACAATGCGTGGTAGAATGCTTCTCGACACTTCTTGAGTGTTCTTCTAATCCCCAAGTGCTTCATAACTACACACAGCACAGCAAGCAAGTTTTTTTAATTTAAATTACGATAACTGTTATTTTGGATACAAATGAAAAAGTAAAAAGTGCGTGCTATGTGCTCTTATAAAGCAAAGCTCCCAGCCAATCAGAACATAAGATTTATAACAGATATTTACATTCAATTATTTTGGAAAGACTGCAGGAACAATGTTTACAAGCTTTAATGTTGTATATTGCAAAATAACAAATAATTGGAAAGCCAGAGGAAAAAAACTAAGGAAAAAAATCAAAAAGACGACAAACAGAAATGCATTTTCAATTTTGAATTAATTAATATTTCATTAGATTCCCAGGAGCAAGTCAGAGGCATGATATAAATAGTTTGAGTGTTTTGAAATAAAGTTTCTGACGACACTTGTCTATGTTTATATTTCCATCTTATAGTTATTTACATAACAAGCAGGACACTTGGCACCAACATGGATCCGTTTAACATTTTACATGTTCATATTAACCTAAAATCATTAATACGAGCATAAGGCATAGAAACCTTTTGTATATCCACATTGTTTCGGTATGATAGCAACTTTAGATTATTATCTATTTAATAGGACAGCATGGCGCCTCTTTTTTCACCGTGTTCACCTGTATGTGTGTGCATTCGTAAAGGATGAACGAATTCTTTTCAAATTGAATCAATAGCGGCAGCAACTGATTGATTTTAAATAGGAATTAATTTATATAACAATACCAAGGAATTAATTCATATATAATCACGAAAGCTTTTATATACATATCTAATCAAGTAACATAAAATTATTATTTTACCACATTCACATTTTTACTGCGGTTTTCCATTTTCTGCAAACTCAGACATTTTTCAACCGCTTGTTGTGAAATGAATTTTTCACTGCTGTCAGTCAAAAACATAAAAGGTATCGACTGATTATTTTTGATTGACAACAGCAAAAAAGCACATTTCAGTGAGCAGCACACAACTACTGAGTTCACAGAATATAGAAAGCCACTATAACATTACAGTACAGATAGAAGCAGCTATCTATGGGTGTTTATAAACATTGTTGATTATTCTGAAAAAGCATCTACGTCTTCTGATATGAACCCAGTATACAGCCAATCAGACTTTATCTTTTCCACTGAGCTGCAAACACTTATGATATAGATCAGTAACAAGCACTGTGAATGTTACATCAATATCTGAAGTGTTTGTAGCCTAGTAGAAATTGAAACACAATACTGATGGGAACAGTTTTATTTTTGCTTTCTTGAAGAATATTTTCCTATGTTTATTTTTAGAGGGTTTTTGAACTTTGTTATATTTTCATTTTGCTTCTTGGATTCAAATTTGTTTAGACTAAAAACGTTGTGGTTTTAACCACAGCTTCCCTGCTAGCAGAGAATTGCCAATGAAGGAGATTCTGCTAGCAGGGAATACCACAGTTTTTCAGTCTAACATCACGAAAGCTATACCACACTGTCACTCTAGCTGAATGATCTAAACTATGTTAGAGTTCATGATTTATGAGTTTAGGTTTAGGCTCTGTTAAGTCTAAGCTGAAAAGACCACCACTTATTATCACCCCCACTTTATACCAACCTACAGAAATTTATCTTTCCCCTCCACTACAAAAAATGTTTTGCACCACTAATAATCATATATGTAATATTTAATTAATATTTACAGTAATTAAAAATAACGAATAACTAAAGAGAATATCTAATAATAAACTACACAAATCAACAGGTTTGTCTTTATCTTCCCAGACATCTCGACCAGTCTCTTAATATATATCATTTCAAAAGGATAAAACCAAGTATTTGGTCTAATTGTTCCATACATAACCTAGACTTATTGGCTGTCCCAAGAGCTTTATCTGATACAAATCTTTCTACACAACAAATTCTAAAAACTTAATAAGGAATCTGAACAACGGAGGTTTAAAGTATGAGGGTCTGAGATATTTTGATAAAAAAGTAACACAGGAAATCAGATCTTAGTCAGGTAGAGCATTTTGGCTCCATCCAGTTCCTGTGTGTCTTACTCTAGACAAAAGGAGGATTATTTTGATTTATTTCATAATTCCTTGTGGTCTTATACTTACAATGAAAATTATATGTTTAGCCATGTTTAATATAGTTTAATACTATGATTAGAAAACCTTTACCTATTGTTTACACCAATTGATGCATTACTTTGTAATTCCACATAGCCATGAGGCTCTGATCATATATATCATGTACAGTACACACAAACATTGCAATGAAAAACTTAGAATTTGCAGTTTGGCTATTTTTCACTGTCTAAATACAGGGTTAGTTTTCAGGCATCGCAAAAACTACATAAAGGGTGAAGAAGGGTGTTTTCTTGACTTGAGTCAAGTACAAATGAAATTAGCCAAATACGATTAATGATCTTCAAATAATATGGATAATAAATAATATATRTTAGCACAAGTTTAACAAGTCCACCCATCCTGTAGTGACACTTATTCTTAGTACTTATACTCTAGAGGTGTTATGCACAATACAGTTTTCTATGGCCTTATTTCAAGTACAGTACGCACAAAGTGGGCCAAAACGCATTAATGTTGGCAGGATGGATTAATCATGTCTTCAAGCACTTACAGACAATAGAGAGTCTCCATCAATGATAAACACTGGCATACATATTTAATTTTATGCCAACTAAGTCATTAAAATGTTTATCACCCATTCTTTGATGTACGAAGAAGACCTGTACGTGAGCCAAAAAAACGAACACTCCCCAAAAAAAAATCTCTACGGAGAACACATACACTTTCTACAAAACTTAATCCTAATTAAAGCAGATGCCTTAGGAAATCTAAATTGGTAACTTTCAAGGGTTTAATGTTCAACAAATCATTTTCTTCCTCTAAACTACCTTACTATATGGATACCCCATATTTTATCATCCCTGATTGAATATAAGGATCCTTGTCCTTATAACATAAAACTGCTAAGTGTGCGTGCCAGATAGAAATACTCTGCTAGAGCATATCACACATGTGATGTCTTTACATTTCCTTTAACGTATGCTGTAATGACTAGATTTAGGATGCCGTCCAAGGTTTAATGAGAAGAGAGKGAGTGACAAGGTCACCCAAGCTAAAGTCTGATAACGTCAAGGAATGTGATAACACAAGTTTTYGAGTATTTTTAACCAGGATACATAGGAAAGGCCAAGAAGATCCATGGATTAAGATTAGTGTTTATCTTCTTTACTGGTTTATTCCAATATTAAGCCATGTTTAGAAGTAGAAATTACTCCTTGTTTCATTATATTGCCGCCCAGTTGACTCAAAGGTCAGGTGCTAAGCTTTTCATCAATCAAAATAAAGTATAAAACTACAGTGAAATTTTCCCATGCTGGCAAAGCAAATTGTGACATATATAATTTCTTGTAACAACATTGATAATAAAGTCTTTTGTTGTGTGTAACAACAAAATATGAGGAAGCAGTTCAAAAGTTTGAGCTTTACGTTTTAAAAATTGCATAATGTGTAAATAAGTGACAGATGCTGAATTCTTTCACAGAAACGAATACAAACAGCTTCAAATTTTATATCAATGCCATGAAAAAACCTCTGGGCTGATYGAATCAGGGCATGGCTCACTCACAGATCAAGTCGGAATTTACCACTGAAGTGCCAAGAAAACTATGTTACAGCATGTATCAACAGCTTAGGTGAAGATCAAGATAGCTGGTTCTATATGATAACAAACAGTCATGGATATGTTAAAATTTAAAAGTAAAAAAGAGAACGAATCAAGAAAGGAAATAACTCAGTGTTATGCACTGTGCAGAATTGCCATTGCCTAAATCACTTCAGTCCTCGAAGAATTTGGAGCTATTAACACTTCCAACATGTTACAGGGAATGCTTCAAATATCATTCTTATCCTTACCAACTTTTAACCTTTTTTATAAATTAATTAATACCCTTGATAAAGCATTAATTGATCCAACACGTGTTTGATACACACTAGAAGAGTTCATTAATGCAATAAATTGATAAAGATTAATAAGAATCTGAGAACATGGATAAAATACAGTTCAAAAGATTAACAAATTTCTTAAATTTTAAGGTTGAGAGTTGAAATATAAGTTAATTTTTTAATTTTTGATTTATCTGATTTTGCTCTTTGGGGCAGGTAATCCTAAGATAAAAGATCAGGATGGCGATCTAGCTTATTTCCTGCTCTTCCTAATTAAGCATTAAATTAAGTGCCTGGTTTACTTTGTCTGTCCGTCAGTTTGTAACAAGCAGAGGTTTTTTTCTGACCCTCTGTGGGCTGGCTGGTCAGGAAGAAAAAAGTAAAATGGTCCTTGATTTTCCAACATCAATTTGTCTTTTTTTTTGTGCTTGTCATGTCGGTCATTTGGTTTTTTTTTTTACAAAAGAAATAAAAATTCTGAAAATGAAACATTTTTGCTTGGAACTTTCAAACCCACAAGCTGATCTTTTAGTCAGTGATTTCGAAAAGGAGTTTCAAACTTTTTTTGTTGTTGTCTATCACTTTTTTTCTTTTACAAAAGAAATTTGAATTCTGACAATGATATATTTGAATAATGCTCAAAACTTTCAAACCCACAAGCCAATTTTTTTTTAGCCAGTGGTTTCGAAAAGGAATTACAAACTCTGACTTCTCACTCCTATGAGATCCAAGAAACCATTCTTCATTTGACAAAATTTTCACATTTGTCAATAAGAAAATCATCCATGATGTATTAACTTAAATTTAATTCAATATTTGATGATCCAGCTGTCAAAAGAAAGTTCAACAGAAAGACATTCCTACAACCACCATTTACTTAGAGCATTAAGAACAATACATGATCGGTGGCAAAAAGTAAAGTTCAAAGCACTATAATCTACATATGAATATAATATTCAATTAGAGAGAACTTTTAAAGTTATAAAGATATTGATTTCTGATTTCTTTGACGAAAAATCTGCTTCAGGAATGTCTGGTAAAAGAATTGCAGAGTAAATGTTGTGCAATAAGTATAAATCTTAATCTTGGGTTAAGATGTTATCAGAGGTAGTACCTGTCAAAACTGATAATGAACAAAAAAGGAGATAAGTTATGGCAGTATTCGGTTCTTAGGTATATACATAACTTGAAGGTTGCAAATGCAATCAGCAACAGACGTATACATCTTTAATTGTGACCGCAGTTTGTGGCTACAACTGATAATACATAATGGCTGCATTAATGATTAGTGGATTTAATTACAACTTATGATGAAAGAGATCCGTGCATCAAAATGGGTTATGATTGATTTGAATGAGCTTCATATCTTTCAGACTTCGAGGCTCCATTAAGTGGGAGTAAATTGGTGGCACATTAGCATGGAAGTATGACTGAAAACAGCTCTTTTACTGGAAACTTTCTTCTTTTGAATCTTAAAACCCTAATTGCGGTAAACGTATTAATTTTTCTGGATCATGAACTCTATTAACTTGACTTGAAAGATTAGGCTCGGATTTTTTAGACTTTAATCTTCGATATTTGCCAGTATCAATTTTTAACTTAACTCCCAATCGATTAAATAATTCGCCCTTAGTAATTGCGTCGTTTGCAGATGCTTGCTTGATCTCTGAAATTCTTACAGTTGTAATGTAAACCATCATTTACAGAAAAACAGAATCATATTCTCTAGGAAGGTGTTTGAGATTTCCTGCTGTAATCAAAAACCAGTGATTTAAGAAAAACTACGCAAACATTAGATCGACGTTTTTTCCAGAACGTTGTATCAAAACACTTGCATTTTAGTACACATATTGAATGTGTTATTTCAAATTGCACGAGTAAGCCACGCCGCCATCATTTAAAAGTTAATTAAAAACGATGTAGACTTTCTATGAGCTGAAATGATCAAATACAAAAGGGCGCTAATCGTCTATTGACGGCTATCACGTCCTCATCTAACAATAGGGAACACCAGAAAGTCTACGATTCTGTTTAATAGCAAAATCGGAATCCCATGTCTATTCTAAGTATTGTTTGATTCCCTCAGGGGCAGTCGAACAGAAAACAGTTTGTTGTGACCATTGCGAGCTACGGAGATGAACTTTGAATACAAAATCAACATTATAGATCCTTTGATGACAGAAAATCAAACCCTTAAACAAAAGCGAAGGATTATCAAATGTAGTAAACTGGTCAACATTGGCTTCATTTAAATTCTGTATTTTGACCAACCGCAAGCCGCGCACGACAAGCTGTCGTTTGGTTTTGCGATTTTTTTAGCGACGAATCGGTCACAATCTGTTTCCGAACAGTAGTGTTATGGAATTCAAAAGTTTGAATGATATTTCGTGACGCAACAGGATTTCACAACAAAAGATCCAAGGTCAACTATAAACGAGTTCTGCTTACATGAAAATAAATACACAAACTGTAAACTTATCTAGTGTTTAGGAATCCTGGACGTGGAACTATTAAATAAACCCAATATAGCTAGTGCTAAGGAATTCGTGACGAAATATTCATAGTATGGTGTCAAAGACGAAAACTTTAAATATAAAGCCAGGAAATTTGAAAAGGAGTAAATACAATACAAAACCCGAGCCAAGGGACATTGAATCCCTGCAAAGAACCACAGATCTCACGCAGTTTTCAGTTCTTCCAAGCACATCACCCAAAGACAATAAATAATTAATATCCCAATTGGAAGTATACAAATATACTTCAAGAATAAAATGATATAATCTAAAAAACATTGGTTTAGAGGAACTGTAATTTTTTCGAGATCTAAATACCTCTGTTAGATATAATTCTCGATAAAGATATTTTGTTTTGGTGATTTCTAAATATTTTAAAATAAAATTGAACTGTTTTTCGTTCCGCCCTCGTTTACTATTTTTAGACGCGTTGGGTCTAGAAGATGGTTTTACTCATCAACGCTCTAAAAAAGTCAAATTTAAAGCTTCAAGTACTTGTAACTCATTAACGACAGCATAAAAGACAACAGCCATGGGAAGCAGGAGATTTTTGGAATTAAATAATCCCAGAAAGAGTTAAAGACGTTGGAAGTTTGAAGATTCCTTCTTGTGTAGCAACGTGGTGTTGTAAACAAGTGAAAAATACAAAAACGAAATAACGGAATTGGTAGAGAAATTCTTTGTGCTGTAGCTCAGGGTTAAGGCTTATTTGAAAGCCTCCTTCATCACATTTGAGGACAATTCTGTTGGGTCACATACGGTCAGGGTGAAAACCACAAGAACAGAACAACGTAATTGTATACGAATTGATTGATTTGACAGTAACTTGCTTCTATTTAGGAACAGAAATTCTTACTTACTTTGGATTCAAAGGAGACCAGTGTAACGGCATGTAGATATGTCCAAGTCCTCTCAAGGTAAACTCGATAACAAACAACAGTACAGAGAAATAAAGAAGCTTAAAATTGAAGCATAGAAGTTTCATGTTGTAAACTTTTTTCCCTACGTACAAACAAGAGACGACGTTCACACTTGGACGGGCCTTCAGCGACAGCTATTTCATTTGACAGTGAATGAATTTAAACGCTAAAGTCGTGAATACGGCGTCTTAGTCTCGTCTTGTGGTAGAGCTACTTCCCTTTGATCCTTTCAGAGGTTTTCGATGAATTTTCCGGTCTTGTTTGGACTTAATTTTGACGAGGTTCACCGCACGATAACACTAAGTGTAAACCATATGCGTCAATGAACACTTATAACGATACTTTTGATTGGACATCAATCAAACCAATAAGCCAATCAGAATGGAGCTCTTAACTTAAGGCGATGGAGGTCCCCTGAGGCGGGAAAACCCGTCGCCCACCCACTGTCTTTCACGTTAGGGGTCTTAATTGGCGCCTTTCAAATTCTATAAAAGGTTTTATTCAAAGAGGTGTTTGTTAGCTTATTCATTACTTTACTGCAGGAACGCGTCTTTTGTAAATTTTTAACACATTTTGCACGACAGACGCGGTCGATTTTGGTTTATCAATTTTCTTTTGACAGAAATCAGGGAGTAAGAGGTGTTATCTAAAACTGATAACTTATCATTCGCTTACATGTACGACAAATTTGTCTTTGAAGGAAACACAACAAATCGTAAGCTGACAGGAGCTCTAAATTATCCTCTGTTTATGTTCAGCTCTTACGAAAGGCTAAGATTTCACCAATAATAAAACTTCAGGCGCGAAATGTTGTTTCTAATACTGTATTAAAAAAGGCTCCCACACGGGAAGTTTTAAAAGTGCTATAAGAAAGTCAAAGTAGAAGTCATTTGATCGGCGAGATACTAACCAGAAGCAGAGGTTGGAACTTAAAGATGAGCTTGAATCTGATTGAGAAATCGAAGTACTTTGAAGAATTTATGGGGAATTAAAACATAAATAAAACAAACAACCATTTTGTCGGTGTCAATTTGTTTACAGCGATGAAAAATCGCTCCAATTTCTGTCGTAACGTACGAACGTGGCGAAGTCGTACTGCGCATGCGCAAAAGGTTCTGGATTATTTCAACGAGAAGACATTAAGCTTCATCATTGTCAGTTGGCGACATCCTGACGTGTTCTTACGGACTAACACGTCATATTGAGTCTTGACCTTTGGATTTTCAGAAACGGACCGCCACTTTCATATCTATCACGACACGCTACGTGTTAGATCAAAATTGAGCAAAGATGAAGTGGCTGATAATGCGGCGATTGAATACGTTAGTTTTTAGACTCATCAATCGGCTTGTGTCAGGCCGCTCTCCACCCCACACCCCTCCGTATTTTAGGGAATGTTGTCTTTCCGGTAAGCTGAGTAATCGATATATCCAGGCATTATAAAAGCGGCAGGGTGTCTAATAGGGAAACACGTAGAGGAAAATTTAGGTTTCTAGTGACGGATATGGAGATGCGCGTTAATGGTGGTTAGGGAGTGTCAGTGATGTGGAAAAGAAGCTGGTATCTGGACCAACTAAAAAATATCATCTCCACCCCCCCCCCCCCCCCCCAACTTTGAAATTATGGTAACCTTTTTCTTCATTGGCTTTTTCATAATTGGGGTTTTCATTTGTATTGGAAAGAGATTTTTTTGAACAGACATTTTTAC